GGGGGCGCTGGCGGGCCGGGGCAATGGTCAGGGGCGCGAGCGGGGGGGGGGGGGGGATCAGCGGTGGGTGCGGGGGTTGGGTGTGAGGGTGCGCGTGGGGTTGGGTGTGAGGGTCGGGGTGGGCACAGGGGTTGCGGACGCCCGTGGCGAGGGCGGGGATGGGAGCTAGGGCGGGAGCTGGGGCGGGAGCAGGGACGGGCGTGGGGGCGGGGGCGCTGGCGGGCCCGGGCCCAAGGGCGGGCGCAGGGGAGGACAGGGCGGGGATCGAAGTGCCGCCTGGGTGGTGCGGGGACCAGCCCACTGGGGGTCCGCAGAGGCGCCCGGTTACAATTTTTTTCTGGCCTTGGGGAGAGCCTATTTCGAGAAAAAAAAAAGGTTCCCCTGCATTATTCCTTGCAGTGAGTGCGGGGAAGCAAAAAAAAAAAGAACCCAAATTTGCACCCCCGGGTGTCCGGGGATCGGGAATCCCCGTGCAGGGGTGAGAGGGTCGATCGACAACAGCGGCTGGTGGGCCCGGGGGCAAGGGTGGGCGCAGGGGAGGACAGGGCGGGGGTCGAAGTGCTGCCTGGGGGGTGCGGGGACCAACCCACTGGGGGTCCGCAGAGGCGCCCGGTTACAATTTTTTTCTGCCTTGGGGAGAGCCTATTTCGAGAAAAAAAAAGGTTCCCCCGCATTATTCCTTGCGGTGAGTGCGGGGAAGCAAACAAAAACTGAACCCAAATTTGCACCCCTGGGTGTCCGGGGATCGGGAATCCCCGCGCAGGGGTGAGAGGGTCGATCGACAACAGCGGCTGGTGGGCCCGGGGGCAAGGGCGGGCGCAGGGGAGGACAGGGTGGGGGTCGAAGTGCCGCCTGGGGGGTGCGGGGACCAGCCCACTGGGGGTCCGCAGAGGCGCCCGGTTACAATTTTTTTCTGGCCTCGGGGAGACTCGGAGAGCCTATTTCGAGAAAAAATGAAGGTTCCCCCGCATTATTCCTTGTGGTGAGTGCGGGGAAGCAAAAAAAAAAAGAACCCAAATTTGCACCCCCAGGTGTTCGGGGATCGGGAATCCCCGTGCAGGGGTGAGAGGGTCGATCGACAACACCGGCTGGCGGGCCCAGGGGCAAGGGCGGGCGCAGGGGAGGACAGGGCGGGGGTCGAAGTGCCGCCTGGGGGGTGCGGGGACCAGCCCACTGGGGGTCCGCAGAGGCGCCCGGTTACAATTTTTTTCTGGCCTCGGGGAGAACCTATTTCGAGAAAAAAAAAAGGTTCCCCCGCATTATTCCTTGCGGTGAGTGCGGGGAAGCAAAAAAAAAAAGGACCCACATTTGCACCCCCGGGTGTCCGGGGATCGGGAATCCCTGCGCAGGGGTGAGAGGGTCGATCGACAACAGCGGCTGGTGGGCCGGGGGGCAAGGGCGGGCGCAGGGGAGGACAGGGCGGGGGTCGAAGTGCCGCCTGGGGGGTGCGGGGACCAGCCCACTGTGGGTCCGCAGAGGCGCCCAGTTACAATTTTTTTCTGGCCTCGGGGAGAGCCTATTTCGAGAGAAAAAAAAGGTTCCCCCGCATTATTCCTTGCGGTGAGTGCGGGGAAGCAAAAAAAAAAGAACCCAAATTTGCACCCCCGGGTGTCCGGGGATCGGGAATCCCCGCGCAGGGGTGAGAGGGTCAATCGACAACAGCGGCTGGTGGGCCCGGGGGCAAGGGCGGGCGCAGGGGAGGACAGGGCGGGGGTCGAAGTGCCGCCTGGGGGGTGCGGGACCAGCCCACTGGGGGTCCGCAGAGGCGCCCGGTTACAATTTTTTTCTGGCCTCGGGGAGACTCGGAGAGCCTATTTCGAGAAAAAAAGAAGGTTCCCCCGCCTTATTCCTTGTGGTGAGTGCGGGGAAGCAAAAGAAAAAAGAACCCAAATTTGCACCCCCAGGTGTTCGGGGATCGGGAATCCCCGCGCAGGGGTGAGAGGGTCGATCGACAACACCGGCTGGCGGGCCCAGGGGCAAGGGCGGGCGCACGGGAGGACAGGGCGGGGGTCGAAGTGCCGCCTGAGGGGTGCGGGGACCAGCCCACTGGGGGTCCGCAGAGGCGCCCGATTACAATTTTTTTCTGGCCTCGGGGAGAGCCTATTTCGAGAAAAAAAAAAGGTTTCCCCGCATTATTCCTTACGGTGAGTGAGGATCGGGAATCCCCGCGCAGGGGTGAGAGGGTCGATCGACAACACCGGCTGGCGGGCCCGGGGGCAAGGGCGGGCGCAGGGGAGGACAGGGCGGGGTTCGAAGTGCCGCCTGAGGGTTGCGGGGACCAGCCCACTGGGGTTCCGCAGAGGCGCCCGATTACAATTTTTTTCTGGCCTCGGGGAGACTCGGAGAGCCTATTTCGAGAAAAAAAGAAGGTTCCCCCGCATTATTCCTTGCGGTGAGTGCGGGGAAGCAAAAAAAAAAAGAACCCAAATTTGCACCCCCAGGTGTTTGGGGATCGGGAATCCCCGCGCAGGGGTGAGAGGGTCGATCGACAACACCGGCTGAACCCCTGGAGATTCCCGCATGACAACACTGCTTGAGGCCCTTGGGAAAAGGAGGGCATGAGTACACATGTGCACTCCTTTTTTTGTAGGTACCTGAAGGCCCTGCTGAAAGGCCTTCCACGATTCAGACCCCAAATTCGGGTCTCAGGGTCAGAGGCCCTGACCAAGAAAGGCCGAGGTAGTCAATTTCAGAAAAGTCACAGTCGGGTACCTTAGCAGTCCAGTCCAACAGGCACCCAGCAAACAGTCACATCTTAGGGGCAGATATCACGTTTCATAATGAAAAGTCGTATTGAAGAGTCCCATCCCACGAGTAAAAAGGCAGTTCCACAGGCAAGAGTTGTGTCCCGGAGGCAGGAGTCACAGTCCACAGTCAAAACCATATGCCAAACTCGAAAAGTCATGACTCAAAGGCCCAAGCAGCAGCAGACCAATGGAAATTCGGGAAGGTTCCAGGCCTTGACATTCGAAAGCAGACAGGCCGTGCGGATGTGGTACAGGAACCCAGTCAGGCCCCAAGAAGCAGAGG